AACGGAAGCAACGGGCGGTCGGGTACGGGCGGCGGCACACAGTGCCACGGAGGGGTCTGGTCTGAAGCTGGTACGAGCAGCTCTTAGTACCGAAGCCGCCGGTAGACGCCGAGCTGCGGGGGCCGCCACCGCGGCCACCACCTCCTGGGGCTCCTGGCCACCCCGACGGGAAAGGAGCCCACGATTGTTGCAGCTGCTGCTACTGCTGCAGCTGCAGCTGCTGCTGCTGCGGCTGCTGCTCCTGGACACCAGCCCCAACCCCCTCGTCTGAACCACTGTCCCTGCCACCACCACTACCACCACCAGCGCCACCACCATGCCCTCCCTTGGGGCCGCGGCGGCCCCGATGCTGTCGCTGCTGCGGAAAGGTTGCAGCAGCGGTCTCAGTGGCTGGGGCAGCCGTAGCGACCACGGCGGAAATGTCAGCATACGTGCACTGGGAGGGAGCACAGCCCTGAAAGATAGGGACTGCCGGAACACCGCTCGACTGAGCGATAGTGCGTTGGCGAGTCTCTATCTTAGACAGGGCAGTGCCAAAGGCAGTCAGGGTGAGGTCGCCTGTGTGCTGGCTAAGGAAGTGGTCTCGGGCAGTGGCTAGGCGGCTAGGCAAGCGCATGACAATAAGGTACAGGGTAGCACAGAATGGTGGGGGGAAAGCAGTGAGCTGGGCGGCAGTGCTAGCAGCGCGGTAGCTAGTCTCTAGTGCACGGAAGTGAGTGGCGAGATCAGCGAGAGTGGGGAAAGCAGAGAGATCGGGGAAGAGCATATGGAGTGCCCATCCTGGTGTTGACTTGTCTAGTGCCGGCGAAGATCGACAAGCCTAGCGGCGAAGTCGATCGCTTGCCCCTCCACGTCCAGGCATAGCATGGCGTCCGCCATCACGCAACCTCACGGCACCGGGACACAGCGGCACAATGACACATCGGCACAGTGACACGGGTACTTAGCTGCACGGCGGTACAGTGGCGTGGCGGCAGGACTCTCCGAAACGCGGATCGGGCGGAAGGCTGTGGAGGGCACAAGAGGGCCGGTGGGCGCGTGAGGAGCCAGCGGATGCGCAAGGGGCCGAGGCGCACGAGGGGCCAGCCAGGCGCGCGAGAGGCCAGCCAGGCGTGCGAGAGGCCGGCCAGGTGCGGGAGGGGCCGTCGCGTAGAGAGGAGCCGGCAAGGCGCGTGGGGCCGGCGGTACGCAGGAGGGGCCGGCTAGGCGGTAGGGGCCGGCTAGGCGCGAGGGGCCGGCTGGGTGAGAGGGGCTGGCTAGGCGAGAGGGACCGGCTAGGCGCAGGGGGCCGGCTAGGCGCAATGGGCCAGCTAGGCGCGAGGGGTCGGCTAGGCGAGAGGGGTCGGCTAGGCGCGAGGGGCCAGCTACAGCGCAAGAGGGGCTGGTTAGGCGCGAAGGGGGGGGGGGGGACAGCTAGGCAAGAGGGGCCAACTAGACGAGAGGGGCCAGCTAAGCGCGAGGGGCCGGCTAGGCGCGAGGGGCCGGCTACGGCGCGAGAGGCGAGCTACGGCGCAAGAGGGGCCGGCTGGGCGCGAAGGGGCGGGCTGGCTAGGCGAGAGGGGCCAGCTAGGCGAGAGGGGCCGGCTAGGCGCGAGGGGCCGGCTACGGCGCCAGAAGGGCCGGCTGGGCGCGAAGGGGCCGGCTACGGCGTGAGGGGTCGGCTACGGCGCGAGGGGCCGGCTACGGCGCGAGAGGGGCCTGCTGGGCACGAAGGGGCCGGCTAGGCGCGAGGGGCCGACTAGGCGCGAGAGGCCTGCTGGGCGTGAGGGGTCAGCACGTCGCGTAGGGGACAGCAGGCGCCCTGGAAGGGGGGGGGGGGGGGGGGGGGGGACGCGCTTGGGGCCGGCGAGGCGCGATAGGCTAGGGCGTGGGGCAGAAGCGGGTGGATGGACCTAATCTACTCATGATACCATGTTAGAATACTTGAATGATTAGAAAGAAGAGAGAACAAGAGAGAGATAGGGTTTGGGTTGTATTCTGTAAGAACACATATCTATTCTAGCCGATAACTTCTACTTGCAAATGTATGTATAAGTTGACACTTCTAAACAGCGTACCCTAGGGTCTTCTATTCGCCTAGGTCTTCTATCCGGGCGTTTACGGTATGCATTCCAAATATTACACTTAGACTGTACTAGTAGCGTGATACCTCATATGGAAGGACGCGCGTAATGACGTCAGTAGTAGCGAGTCAACGCGCGGACAGTAGGTTCATGTTCTTAGAAACTTAGGACTAAAGGTTCTTAAACTTAGGAGGCTAGGTTGGCTAGGATACTAGGAAGAAGACCGCCATGGAATGGCGTGAGGAAAAACGGATCTAGGAAGTGAGAGGATGTCGAGAAGAAAGGTAGTTGGATTAGGAAGAGAGGGGAGTACAAGGAGGGGTTTGTACCCCCTACAGAAAGGTTCAGTAACAACCTACCAAGCCTATATTAAATTATAACTTACAGTATATAATTTTAACACACCCCCTAGGCTTGGTAGTGTCAAGCCCACGCACACCCCCACACCCACACCCACACCCACACCCCCTAGCCCAGCACCCCCATTCCCAGCAGCAGCCGAAACGACGCCGAAAGAGGGTGGGTCTCACGGCCCCTTGAGACGGCAATGGCGGCAGCAGCGACAGTGACGACAGCGGCGGCGGCGGCGGTGTGCGGCGGCTCCAGGCCTGCGGCAACAGCGGCGGCGCCGGGGGGCTCGAACGACAGAGGCTGGTGCGGCGGCCCCCGCCCTCTCGGCGGCATGTCCTGTCTCCTCGGCGGTGGAGAGGTCCCTCACATGGCAGTGATCGGCTGCAGCAAGAAAGGGGGGATGCAGGGGAAGCAGGTGCAGGTGGGGGGGGGGGGGAAGGGAGGGGGCGGGGCGAGGCGAGTCTTCAGCGACGCGCCATAAATGGCGCGGCGCTTACTGGCGGGAGGACGTCGTCCTGAGGGACGCCCGTCTGTGGCGAGCGGGCGGCAGGCCCGGCGACGCCACAGACGTCGCTCGGCCGGCCGCAGCCCGACGATGCCGTCGGCTGCCGCAGACGCCGCCACAGCGCACCGTCAATGTCGCAGCGGCGAGGCGGACGGGCGACGGCTGCACCAAGGGGCCGTCGCGACACCTTGGCGCCGCGACGGTAGGCAACGAGGGACCGTCGCGACATCTTGGTGCCGCGACGGCAGGCAACAAGGGGCCGTCGCGACACCTTGGCGCCGCGACGGTAGGCAACGAGGGACCGTCGCGACATCTTGGTGCCGCAACGGCAGGCACCAAGGGGCCGTCGCGACATCCTGGCGCCGCGACGGCAGGCTGGCAGAAAACCGCGAAGGCTGCGAATGCAGTAGGAGTACGCAACGGGAACGTAGGGAGAGGGTTCGGTGGACACGACCGGCTCTGATACCATCTTAGAAACTTAGGACTAAAGGTTCTTAAACTTAGGAGGCTAGGTTGGCTAGGATACTAGGAAGAAGACCGCCATGGAATGGCGTGAGGAAAAACGGATCTAGGAAGTGAGAGGATGTCGAGAAGAAAGGTAGTTGGATTAGGAAGAGAGGGGAGTACAAGGAGGGGTTTGTACCCCCTACAGAAAGGTTCAGTAACAACCTACCAAGCCTATATTAAATTATAACTTATATAATTTTAACACATGTGTACAGTCACCCGAAGGGTCACGCCACTCATAGTCACACGAACAGTTACTAGTCATGTCACGCGAATATTCGCGATACACTACGAACAGATGCATTTCGAATAGGTACTTCCTAGACTATTAATATGCATGTATTACTCATTATTGTTGTCCTTGTCATTTCTGACATTTCCAATACAATGTGTAAAGTCTTATGCTGACTTTTACTCGTGGTTCCACCAAATATAGATCCTGGACACCCTAAACACGTGGTTCATTTCAACGAATAGTACTATGCATCTGTACATGCAAGGCTTAGGAGGTAGAACTCATAAATATTCCAATTGACGTATGACGTGTTCTTATGTACTGAGGTTGCATTGCTTTCAAGTGTTTTCTCGTACAAGAGTGCGAAGACTATTGAATTGCGTCCTGAGGCGCGAATATTTGCCTCAACAATTTTTACGAGGCGCAGGTGTCAGGCCGGGCCTTTCTGCCAACCAAGCAAGGCTTTTCACCTGCGGTGATTTCGTCTTCAGGTGTCCTGCCAGAACAGCGTAGACCTCCTGGTAACCAGGACTATTTCGAGAGGCGTCTGCGAAGAGCAGTGCGCAAAACTCACCTTACCAACGACGCTCGCGAGAGTCTGAGTGCAAAATGAAGAGAGTTGCTATCAGCGATTAGAGGGCCTATCAGCGATTAGGCTCTGCTCCGCTCCCGAACTCCGTCTTTCCTGCCCTTTCGGTCTGTTTCCAGAAGCAACAAAAGGTTGGAGACTACACCGCCCGCACGAAACCCATGCGGCTGAAAATTTCAAATGTGAAGTTTGAATTTGTAACTAACGATGGCAATTTCTCGCAAATTTTGCTTGCGCGAAAAAAGTATCCACCCCTCATGCATTTCGTGCTGGCCGAGCTGGCCCCTGCGCAACCTCGTTGGGATTGGCGAAACGCGTTTGCACTTTCGTGCTGAGTTGTTCTGGTACGTGCACAACGAGCGGTCAAATGTTTTCCAGCGTACTTGAAGTCGTTTGCACAAAATGTTTGGCGCGAATCCACACTTTTTTTACACGCATATTTCGTGCATCCGATTGGCCTACAATTACAGGCGGGCAGGAAAAACGGAGTTTGGGAACGGAGCCCCCGCTCCGTTCCCACCTTACACATCCCCTGAGGTAGGGAAAGGCCCCTCCTCTCCCTCCAACAGGTGCATTTCTGGTGTTGTGCGGCGGCTCACAATCATGGCGTATTCGAGTGAAAACTTGCTCGCCGGCCGTTTCTGGATGGATCTACCATTGCTGGATGGATGTAATCTCTCCAGCTAAGACTAATCTGGCCATCTGTTCATCGTACGGTATTTGTAGGATCCATGTTCTCCAGCAAAGAATAGTCTGGCGATCTTTTTATCGTAGGGCATATGCACTCAATAACGTTGGACAATTCACTCATGCCCCGTCTACAATACATTCCCTACCACGCCCAATATAACCAGGAGGAGAATAGCGAGATAACATGGTGTACACTGCAGATCTGCTTATTAAGCAGACAGATACAAGCACTGAAGAGAGCAAGCGGGTTTAGAGAAGCTGCAGCAACCGTAATAATACAAGCGTGGGCCGTTCTGTGGACACAATACACTTGGGTCCGTCCAATCGCGTCGAGATATGTCACACCAGTCTCCGTATAATAACATCAGAGTCAAACAATCTGTTGTGGTCGAACGACATAAGTTACTCCAAAGTTACTTCTTGCCGCCGCCAGTGCCCGGGACAACAGGGGGACCACCAGTAGCGGGACCACCAGTAGCGGGACCACCAGTAGCGGGACCACCAGTAGCGGGGCCACCAGTAGCGGGGCCACCAGTAGCAGGGCCACCAGTAGCGGGGCCGCCAGTAGCGGGGCCGCCAGTAGCGGGGCCGCCAGTAGCGGGGCCGCCAGTGGAAAGCGGGCCAGGTGAGTTTGTCACCCCGCCGTAGTTGCACACACCCGCGGCGCAGGTGCCTGGGCAACGCGCGCCGCAGGCGCCGCAGTGATCGTTGTTGGTGTTGGGGTTGATGCAGGTGCCGTTGCAGCAGGTTTGGGTGAGGTCGCAGAAGTTGGAGCAGACGCCGCAGTTGTTGATGTCGGTCAAGACGTCCACGCACAGCCTGAAATGGGAGAACGTAAGAATAGTGGGGAAGGAGTTCGAGGGAACGGGTGAGAATCCGATGTGACGAACAACCCGTATCCGATACACAAGGGGCAGCAAGGTTGCAGGCCGAGACATAGACCGCGGGATGTCAGCCGCATGGAAGACGAAAGCGTGAGGGGAAAACGTGGAAGCAAGGACATGAGAAAGAGCGACACGCTTGAACCAGAGGGCTAGTCGGGGGCCTCTGAACGTGAATACACGCTGAGCGGGATGAGCGATTGCGAGTTGAGGGCCTTGGGACTCACGATCCGCAGAGTGTTTGGTTGACGCAGGTGGGGAGCTCAGTCAGCTTGCGCCACCTGAGCCGGTGCGCGCTGCCGCTGCGGACGGAGTTGCGCACGGCGTATTTCTGCGAGGAGAAGAAAATATTTAAAACAAAAGGCACGACGGGTGGAGGATGGTTGAGTATGAAGGGGAAACGAAGAAAGTGTGCCTCCAATTATCTAATGTGTCCGAAACGTCCGAAGGGCCCAAATACGGAAACTAATATCAGAACGCCAGATGTCAAGCGCGGAATGTTTCCTAAAACGATCGCTACGCGGCTGCTTCATATCAGACCCGAAAGCCTGCCATTGGGGGCAATGCTTCCCGCAGCGAAAGGGGCAACTAAGTGAGACTAGCATGGGGCGGTTCTACGGGTGTATGAGGCTAAGCACCTCGAAATTGCTGCTTGATGCTTGCGCGACGTGAGCCAGCGCGAGGCACAGCAGTAGGGTGATCAACACTTGAGTCTTCATGGTGACTAGCTGAAACGTCGAGGCTAGAGCCTCCCAGATAACAACTAAAGCCGCTCTTAGCTTCAGATCCTGGCTGCTGCGGTGCTGACTGCTTGCAGAATTTGGTGAAATGGCTCCAGGCTTAGTGGTCCTGGAAGAATGGGAGGGAACTACTTCCTCTGGCGGATGGCTACGGAGATTTGCTGCTGGGACTTCCAAGATGGTTGAAGCGGGAGAGTGAGTTTCGTGAATACTTGATCGCTCTAGCTCCTGAGCCAAACCTGCGAGTGACCTCATAGCAGCAGGTGCGGGCGAGACATGTGGTCTGCGAAATTACTGTTCCACAACCTGCTCCATCCTGCTTGGCGCAGCGCCGCGAGTGGAGGAACAGGCATCTGAGAAAGGGCCCCTGGCAACAGACAGCTTTGTGTGCGACGCAGCGCAGACTCAGCTGAAATCTCGCGCGCAGCGCAGGGAATAACGCTGGGTGTGTGCGACAGTTTCGCCTAGCTAGCTGGACGGCTATGCTGCCCAATTGAGAGTTCCACTGTTCGCGTTCAGGTGTCAACTATGTAGGCGGTACTAGGAGCCATTAACAATACGGGCACTCTGTTTCAGGTTTTCCTGCCCTTCGAGGCCTTAAGTGCTCTTCAACTATGAAGTTTGTAGTTTGAATAAACTTCTGTGACCTCTAATGCACAACCAAATGTACAGCCTAGCACCGCAGTTTGTTTGATAATGCCCGTCCCAGTCTTGCGGAAGCTGGGACGCATGTCATCCGTTCAGGTGCGAGCAGGTGTGGAGCGCGCCGCAGGTGTTTCGCCAAGTCAGGCGTGTTGGACAGTTTTCTTGGTCATCTTCAGAAAAGTGGCAAGCGACCGCCTTCCCAACGCGCGAAACGGGAAACCCGCACTTGGACGGCCAGCATTGAACTGCAGAAAGTGCGACGGGCCAGATTCCAGATTCTGGATGTCAGATTCGTCACAGCGCATGCGACACACTAACAGTCGCCGTCCATAAGATGTGAGGAAAAGGTAACATGAAGGAAATGTGTAAACGCCAAGCATATCTTCCTTCTAACTTCAATATTTATACTAGCATGGAAATGTCTCTGTGATGTGGATGTGTCTTAAATGGGGTGAAGTCAATTACATGAATGTAATTCATATATTAAATCAAACAAAATTATACGGTACTCACGATTGTTGTAAGAAGGCAGGGTTGATGCCACTACCACAAAGCAGAGTTGTTCCATATTGTTATGAAAGCTGAAGCTGACGAGGCGAAAAAATCAGCACTAGGTTGAAATTACATATTGGCCTAGTGAAGAAGGAGCCATGCTAAAATACTTGGCTGGGCTAGGCCGGAGTACGGCTAGAACCTAATGAAAGGGGCGTGAGCAGGGCTCAAAATTGGTTTAGGGGGACCCTTTGTAATCAGGGTACCTCAAAAAAATTGCCCTGCCTCCTAGGGTGGAAATTTCGGCACCCTTTGAAAATCAGGGTAAATTTGAAAAAAAAACCGAGTACACTGTTTGGCCAGGGAAAAAAATTGAACACCCTTGCATGTGCTTACCGTACAACAGTCGATCATACTTTCGAGTGCTTTCAGATCTAGAATGCATACAAGCACGTTGTCTCTAACATTATCAATGCATAGCTAGATAACCTACTACTACTACTACTACTACTACTACTACTACTACTACTACTACTACTACTACTACTACTATACTACTACTACTACTACTACTACTACTACTACTACTACTACTACTACTACTACTACTACTACTACTACTACTACTACTACTACTACTACTACTACTACTACTACTACTACTACTACTACTACTACTACTACTACTACTACTACTACTACTACTACTACTACTACTACTACTACTACTACTACTACTACTACTACTACTACTACTACTACTACTACTACTACTACTACTACTACTACTACTACTACTACTACTACTACTACTACTACTACTACTACTACTACTACTACTACTACTACTACTACTACTACTACTACTACTACTACTACTACTACTACTACTACTACTACTACTACTACTACTACTACTACTACTACTACTACTACTACTATACTACTACTACTACTACTACTACTACTACTACTACTACTACTACTACTACTACTACTACTACTACTACTACTACTACTACTACTACTACTACTACTACTATACTACTACTACTACTACTACTACTACTACTACTACTACTACTACTACTACTACTACTACTACTACTACTACTACTACTACTACTACTACTACTACTACTACTACTATACTACTACTACTACTACTACTTACTACTACTACTACTACTACTACTACTACTTACTACTACTACTACTACTACTACTACTACTACTACTACTACTACTACTACTACTACTACTACTACTACTACTATTACTACTACTACTACTACTACTACTACTACTACTACTACTACTACTACTACTACTACTACTACTACTACTACTACTACTACTACTACTACTACTACTACTACTACTACTTACTACTACTACTACTACTACTACTACTACTTACTACTACTACTACTACTACTACTACTACTACTACTACTACTACTACTACTACTATTACTACTACTACTACTACTACTTACTACTACTACTACTACTACTACTACTACTACTACTACTACTACTACTACTACTACTACTACTACTACTACTACTACTACTACTACTACTACTACTACTACTACTACTACTACTACTACTACTGCATGTTATTGATTCTGATCCTAATTCATAGGAATGCGCTCTCAGTCTCACGGCAGTCACTAATACTCCCGCTACTAATAGCTCACTCTGCAGACCCACTATTCCCCCCGCCGACTGAGCTGGGAGCAGCAGAGGGTGCTGCGTTCTCTGGCTCAGCAAACAGCGCCGAACTGGGGATGGCGCCGGTGAAGTCTCGGATAGTGCGGCGGGGCTTTTCTCCACGAAAGATGGCCACCACGTCGAACCAGTCCACGTCATAGTCCAGCAGGGAGCACCGCATGAGATGGCCGAGGGTGATGTCGCCCATGCTACCCCGCGCCCATGTCTTTATCAGGTTCTGCTTGGAGAAACCGCGCTCGCAGTCGACAGTGCTCAGCGGGAGAACGGCGACAGCTTGCCACATAAGCATGATGTTGGGGTAGCTGAGCTGCCAGTTGCTGTCACGCAGCGTGTTGCTCAGCGCCTGGAAGAAGTCCTCATGATGATGCTGGGAGTGCATGGTGGATGTGAACATCCATAGCTCCGTGACTGCATTGTTGTACTTGAATCCTGCAAGGGGGGTTCGGGGCGGTGAGGGAGGAATGGTTCAGTGTTGAGACTTGAGAGGCAACGATTCTGTTCGCATTGCATAGCATACCATGACTCCATGGTTGAGAAGTAGGCGCTCTAGATTACCTGGTAGCTTGTGCCGAAACAGGCTGTCCAGCTGCTTCAGCCACTTCTTGAAGGCCGCCACGCGTAGGATGTCGTCATCCAGATAGGTCTTGTCTAGGAACAACTTAGTCCCCTCCAGGTTACGCAGATCGTTCAGGCGGCGGTCGAGGAACATGTTGACGGAGCGAGCATACTTGACGCAGAGCTCGAAGCAGGCTGTCACGTCGCCGTCAGAATCTTGGCCCGGCAGCGGTCGCTCGTGGAGTTCGAAGGAGAACGACTGCGGGTTTCCGTCACCGTCGACGCCCTCTGCCATCATCACCCGCTTGTCCTTAGCTGCATGTGCCGCGATGAACTCCGGCAGATGGAGCTTCTCCCCATGGCCGAAGCCGTGCCCAGGCCCAGAGCTAAGATAGCGCGCCGAGATCTGCATCTTGGTTTGCTCAACCACATGTGCCACGAGTGTCACGTCAACCTGTACGGGCGGGCACAACACACGCACCACGCATCAGTGCTATGCTTTGCGCCGGAAACCACATGGACCGGTCGGCAAACATGGGGGGTGAGAGTCAGACACGCGTAGCGATATATTAAACAGATCAGACACGGTGATGCATACCTGGCGCTGCTGAAACCGTTGGTTGAGGATGTTCAGCTCCGTCAGAATGTCAGCGAGGAAGCGCAGGAGAAAATGAAACTTAAACGAAGTAACGACTTCATACAAGTCACTCCCATGCTCGCGTAGCAGCAAGATGGCGGCTGGGAGCACGTCCACGAGGCGGTTCACCGCCTCGCCCCTGGAGAGCCAGCGGATGACATGGATTCCCTGGTGTTCCAGGGTCGTCTGACAGAAGATCAGCTGCAGCGCCATGAAGCGGGTGTAGCGCACGTGACTGCGTCCAAGGATGTCGGCAAGTGTCCGTATGATAAGGTCAATGATGCTTAGCTCGGGCACGGCTGCAGCCGCGTCCTTAGCCGCCAGCGCCTCCCTGAAGGCGAGGTGGGAGGATAGGGGAAGAGTAGTAGAAAGGCTGATGTTACTTCAAGGAATATAAGGCACCACCATGCATTTCATCCGAAAGTTTATACGTCCGTCGAACCGCAACAAACCGATGGGCAATGCAGTGAATCGAGACGAGGTGCTCGATTTGTGCGTGCAGACGGGTCACTACTCCGCTCCGCTCGCCGGTCATTACGGAAGCTCCATCAGTCGCGATGCCCACGATCTTTTGCAGGTCCAGTCCAATTCCCTGGATGTAGTGCAAGAGGGAGGAAGTCAGAGATGCCGCGTCAGTCCGCTCGACACTCAGAAGTGTGACAAACTCGGTCGCCACGGTGTTGCCCTTCAAAAACGTCGCGTAGAGCACGAGATGTTTCCCGTGGATGCGATCCGTGCTCTCAACGATGCTGATGCCGACGTAGGGAGAGGCGTGAAGGTGTTTCAGCTGTTCCTCCTGCAGATACTCCGACATGGACCGTATGCTCTCCTTGAAACCGTAACTGCATGACACGGAAACAAGGAGAGACGGACGGCAGGGCATTTGTACCATACAAGAAGGCCACAATTTGTGCACGTGGGGAGGGAGGACGAGCAGTGAGCATCAAACGGCAAATCGCACAGCACAAGAACTACTGTCGAGGTTTTAACATACTCTGTGTAGTAGGCGCCGTACCCACCACCTGGCGGCAGATCGGGGTGGCCTTCCTTCGCAAGGAACCAGCACAGGGGGATGAACATCGCGATGGGCGCATCATGCCTGCAAATGAACAACGCGATGTGCAGCATGCGAATAAGATGCCGCGTCTGGTGATCCGTCCGCTGCCAGCGGGTCAGCGTCACTTGTCGCGCGCGCTCTTTCTCAGCATCCTCCTCCGCCTTGATCGCCGATTTGTGCGCACGGGTGCCGATGTGAGAGCGGATGCTGCCGAGCTGCAAATCACGCCCACCCTCACCCTTGATGCCATACGACGTGTTCGCACATGGGTCGGCGTGTTTGAGGCACGTGGCGCACTTGAGAGCAGGTCGTCCGTTCTTCATTCGATGTAGCCGCAGCCAGGGGAACCGCTTCGACCAGTCATTGTCGAAACGGTTCTTTATTACTGCATACTCGGCCTCAGCAGCGGTCGTCGGCAGAGCGTCGGCAGCAAGCCCGGCAGAGCGAGAAGCGCGCGCGGGAGGCGGGCTTGCTGGGCGGCGAGGCGGAGGCGCACCCCAGAGGGTCGACTGCGTCCATGCGGACCGTCGCGGCCTTTTGGCGGTCTCGGAGGTAGGGGAGGGTGGGGTTGTCACGGAGGGATGGTCGGACTCATCTGCATCGGCAGACTCTGAAACGTCGATGGGCTCGATGCCCCGTTGAGATGGAGAAAGGGATCTAGGAATCTGTGGTGGGGCGAGCTGAGGAATTTGCAGAGAGCGCGGGGGAGATTTACGCTGGCTGAACGAGGGCGCGACTGCTGGTTGAGCGAGGGGGAAAACGCCGAGGACGCTAAGGCCATCACGATGACCAATATGGCCATCGTTAGGCTCGTCGTTCTCGGGAACGGCCATGTCTGAGTAGTAGAAGCGATAGAGTAACAACTAACGAGGGGAATGGTTGACCCAGCTCGGCTGGGTCGGGTGGAAGTATGAAGAGAAGGTGGGGGAAGAAGAGGATGAGGACGATGGGCCAAGAATGGTCTCGTGATAGGGAACGAAAACCACACAACGCGGCAAAGTCAACCTTCTATGGCAGACTGTCCTTGCGCCGCGGGTGTTGCTGCGCTGGTGCATGCGATGCCCAGTTGTCCTTGAGACCACGCGGGAAAGTGGCCTCGATGCATAGCGCATACTGCATCTGGCACGCTGCTGGCAGTAGTGCTGCCACAGCGCGACGAATTCACTGCCACGCGCGCCGATTCTGGGGGGCTTGACTGCTAGTGGGCGGGCATGGCTGGCGGGGTTTCACGCGTGGCAGATTCGACAACAATCGAATCTGCAGACCTTGTAGGCTTCTGTTTCAGGGTGTTTTCGGCAACACCCTGCCTGGTCAGGGTATATCATGGTTTACTCTGGCTACAGCAGGGTAAAAATAAACTTACACGTTTAGAGAAAGTGTCACAAAAAAAATACCCTTTGAAAATCAGGGTGATCCTGAAAAAGCGGCCGCTGGCAAGGGCAATCAGGGTGAAATACCCTTCAAATTTGAGCCCTGGGCGTGAGGTGGGTTGGACGGATGGCCGCAGCACATGACATTTTTTCAGCTTTTGATTTTCCCTTAGCCTGAATTTTAGGGGTTCTCATTTGAGCAGGCCTGAATTTTAGTATGTTCTTGTTTTGGTCACCCTGAATTGTCAGCCTTAACGGATTTTCAGTCTGAAAAAGAGTCTTTTCTGTCAAACATGTGTATTTGTTATGGTTGCATAGACTGTATAGGGTCACCTCTTAGAGGGTACAATACTTAGGTATATCTATCTGTACTCTCCCACTACTTATCAATCAATTCTCTCAACTTGATATGGTATCACGCGTAGGTTAGGATCCCCCCACCTACCGCTTCCGCTCGTCCCCTAGCTAGGCCCCGCCGTGCCCCTAGCCCTGCTGCGCCCCTCCTGGGCCCCGTTGCGACCCCCTAGCCCCGTCGCGACCCCCCCTTAGCCCCAGTAGCGACCCCCTGGGCCCCGTCGTGCCCCTCGCCCTGCCGCGCCCCTCCTGGGCCCCGTCGCGACCCCCTAGCCCCGTTGCAACCCTCCCGGGCCTTGCTGCGCCCCTCGCCCTGTCGCGCCCCTCCTGGGCCTCGTCGCGCCCCTCCTGGGCCCCGTCGCGCCCCTCCTGGGCCCCGTCAAGTCTTCAGGCCCCGTCGCGCCCTGCCCGGCCCCGTCGCCCCCTGCCCGGCCCCGTCGCACCCGCCCGGCCCCGTCGCACCCGCCCGGCCCCGTTGCACCCGCCCGGCCCCGTCGCGCCCGCCCGGCCCCGTTGCGCCCGCCCGGCCCCGTTACGCCCGCTCGGCCCCGTCGAACCCGCCTGGCCCCGTCGCGCCCACCCGGCCCCGTCGCACCCGCCCGGCCCCATCACCCACTCGGCCCCGTTGTGCCCTGCCCAGCCCCGTCGCGCCCGCCCGGCCCCGTCGCACCAGCCCGGCCCCGTCGCACCCGCTCGGCCCCGTCGCACCCGCTCGGCCCCATCGCACCCGTCCGGCCCCGTTGCGCCCTGCCCGGCCCCGCCACGCTTGCCGGGCCCCGCCGCACCTGTCCGGCCCCGCTGCTCATCCCTGCCCCGGCCCCTTCATCCTCACTGGTACGGTTCCCCCCTCCCTGCACCGCCCTGCACCGCACTGCACTGCCCTGCACCGCCCCGCACCGCACTGCACTGCCCTGCACCGCACTGCACCGCTCTGCACTGCCCCTGATGGCGGCTGAGCTTCGGTTCGACGCTGAAGGCCAGCCTCAGGAGTTCGAGGCGTGGCTTGCCGACCTCCGGCGCCAACTCACTGGCCAGCGGCAGGATGGTGAACCGCTGTCCGCACACCTTGACGGTACGCTCCCCTGCCCAGACCCCCCTGCTGTTTTGCCCGCTGACTCCACACCCACTGAGCGCGAGTCTACTGCTGCCACTGCCCGTGCGCGCTCTGTCTGGCTTTCTCGCGATGCTGTCGCTCAGCTTGCCATTAGCAACGCCCTTCCCCCGTCCGAGCGCCCTCGCTTTAGGTCCCTCACTACTGCTCAGGCTTACTTAGATGCTGTCATTAAGAGCTATTCCACCCCTCCGGCTGCCTCGGTGGGTCGCCTGATCCTCCCGATGCTCTTTCCTGACCTTGCGTCTTTCCCCACTGTCTCTGACCTCGCTGCCCACCTGCGCTCGATAGATGAGACCTGGCGCGCTGCCTGCACTGACGCACAACTTTGAGCCCACCAGCCGCCCATTACCTCTACCCTTTACCTGCTTGCCACCCGCCTCCCTGACCGCCTTGCTGTCGCCCGCGACCGCTTCCTTAGCATTCACCCTGCAGACCTCACCCTCACTGACTTTGTAGACACCCTGACTGTGATTGAGACCTGCCACCGCTCCATTGCCCAGGCGAGCGGTACCGTGCCGGTCCCTATCTTTCAAGGTTGTGCCCCCGCTCAGTGTACCTTCTCCGACGGCTCTGCCGCTGTGACTGAGACTGCTGCTGCAGCGCAGTTTCGTTCGGGGAAGGGCCGCCGCCCCAAGGTTGGGCGCGGCGGAGGAGGCGGGGGTGCGGGAGGGGGTGGTAGTGGAGTTGGGTCGTCTGGTGCTGGAGCGGACGAGGGGACCCTACCCAGTCCAGCTGAGCCTCCGCCCCTACAGTCGCAGCAGCAGCCGCAGCAGCCGCCGCAGACGAGGCAGACGAGTGTACTCCCGCCCGGGTGGCCCGGCGCTGGTAGTGGTCGGGCGCGTGGTGGTGTGCCGAGTGGTGGTTCTGGAGGTGTGCGTTGTCAGTACCAGATCCAGACCGGTCCTCGCCGCGGCTTCGTTTGCGGTAAGATCGGTCACTCCACTCCCTGCTGTTTTTGTCGCCTGGACGACCTGTTTCGTCAGCGCTTCGGCCCGTCGCCAGACCTCCCGGACTGGCACAGTTTGCTTAGTCGTAAGATTCAGATTTTTGACATGGACATGGATGCCATTGTTTCTGCTTTGCATGTGATGTATGCTGATGACTCTAGCATGCTTCTCGCTTATTACTCACTGTCGGCTAGTGTAGGTGTGCCTAGCTTAGCCTCCCCTGCTGCGTCAGGCGTAGGATCCCCTGCTTTGTGTAGTCTTGGTGCTTCCGCCGTCGTTCCGTCGCCAGACGCCTCTGCTTCGCTTTCCTTCACCTTGGACTCTGGCGCTTCCCGGTGCTTCTTCCGCGACTCCACCACCCTGACGCCGCTTCCTGTTCCTGCTGCCGTTTCTCTTGCTGACCCCTCCGGCGGTCCGGTAGTCGCTCGCAGTTCCACCACCCTTCCCTGTCCGGCGGTTCCTTCGGGCACTCTCACAGGTCTGCATATCCCCTCGTTCTCCAAGAACCTAGTTGGTGTCGGCTGCCTCCAGGACCTTGGCGTCACCACTACGTTCCCTGGTCACGAGCGGTATGCTGTCTGTACCGAGGCCGCCACTGGTGCCCCCCTGTCCACGTTCCCCCGGGACCCGGTGTCCGGCCTGTTCACCCTAGACACCGTGACCCCCCCGGCTGGAGCGCTCCCTCAGGTGGCTGCGTGTACCCAGGTTGCTGCTGCCTGCTCCTGTCGGTCCCTCACTCACCCGACTCTCCTTTGGCACCACCGCCTAGGTCACCCTGCGCTCCCACGTCTGCATCACATGTCCCAGCACAGTCTTGTCCTTGGTCTCCCAGGTTCTCTCCCCGCGTTCCCCTCCTCCCCAGCCCCACCTTGCACACCTTGTGTTGAGGGTAGGCTTCGCCGTGCCCCTCACTCCTCCTCTTTTCCCCCTACCGCCGCGCCGCTGCAGACCCTGCACCTGGACGTCTGGGGCCCCGCCCCCGTCCCTGGGCCACGTCGCGAGCGTTACTTCCTTGTGCTTGTCGATGACTTTACTCGTTACACCACAGCCTTTCCCTTGGAGCGCAAGGCCGACGTGCCTGGCGCCCTCATCCCCTGGCTTGTCTCTGCGCGTGTCCACCGCGGTCTCCTTGTCTTGCGCCTTCACTCCGACCGTGGTGGCGAGTTTGCCTCAGGTGTCCTTGGTCGCTTTTGTCGTGCGGAGGGCATCACCCAGACGTTCACCCTACCGGACTCCCTACAGCAGAATGGGGTCGCTGAGCGACGCATCGGTTTGGTCATGGAGGTGGCTCGCACCTCCATGATCCATGCCGGTGCACCCCATTTTCTGTGGCCGTTCGTTGTGCGCTACGCTTCTCACCAGCTTAACTTGTGGCCGCACCCCCAGCAGCCGCAGGTTTTGCTGACCCGTCTTTGGACTGGGTCTCCTGGTGACGCGTCTGCGTTTCACGTCTAGGGCTGCCTTGCTCACGTCCGTGCCTCCGGCACGGACAAGCTCACTGCCCGCACCCTTCCCTGCGTCTTCCTCGGTTTTCCTCTTGACGCGTCCGACTGGCACTTTTACCACCCGCCGTCTCACCGCTTCTTTCACTCTCGCGACGTCACCTTTGACGAGTCCGTTTCTTACTACCGTCGCTTCCCCCACCGCGGTCCCCCGGTTACCCCCCCCCTGTTCCTGGTCACTCCTTCCCCGGTAGTCCCTGCCCCTCCCCCTCCTCCTCCCCGTCCTGCCCCCTCTGGTGTGTCCCACGTCACCCCCCTTCCGTCGGTGGACCCGGTTGAGGAGTCTTCTGACTCTGGTGGCCCTGCTGCGCAGTCCTCGCCGGCTGCCCCTCCACCGGCGTCCCCTCCCCAGTCCCCTCCTCCACCGCCTCTGCCGCCACTGCAGCCGTCGGCGTCGCTGCCGCCGCCGCCGCCGACGTCGCAGCACCCGTTCGCTGACTCTGGGGGTGCTAGTACCGGTAACCCTGGGGGTGGTTCCTCTGGGGGTGCTGGTGTGGAGTGTGCCGGTGGTAGCCGAGGAGCAGCTTGCGGTCCCGGTGTCGCTGTTGTGCCGCCGGAGCAGCAGTCCCCGCCGGTGTCCGCCCTTCGCTTGCTCGGCCTTCCGTCCCCTGACCCTGCGGCTGTTCCTCTCCGACCGTCTCCTCCTCTTCCCGTCTACGGCCCTGTGTTCCCTCCGCCGGACTCGTCCCCGGCCCGTCTTCCCCCTCGTTCCCCTCCTGTGTCCCCTCCCCTGTATCCTGACCCGACTCCTCCGCTGGGAAACTGCATGGTGCGAGAGATTGGAAAAGAAAACAAACATAAAAGCACAAAAAATCGGGAGATGGTAACATTAGCCAGACCCCGCTGAAAAAAAGGAGCATGAATGCGATGACCATGTCAAAGTCCGCATGAACATAATGCTAGTAGCGACGTCTAAGTGCGACCACTTCTCCCGAGCCTCACCTGAAATTGAAGTTTATCCGAAGCAGTTCGCCGTTCTGGCTCTGATCGACGATGACTTGCGTCGTGGTGGAAACTTTGAGAAAGCTGTTCATCAAGCTGCATGCAGAGGAAGGAGTCAAGAGGCAGTGAGGCACGAGGGAGGGTGTAAGCCAGCTGAGGTAGCGGGTGCCATTCTGGTGGTGGCAACTCTGGCCGAAACACGCGCCTCTGCAGACCCCAACCTACCAAACAGGTTCGGGCCTTGGAGCAGTGCTCGCCCTTCTAGCGGCGCCCGCCCTTCTTGCGGCGCCTGCCCTCCCAGCAACTTGAAACCTGAACTTCTGAATGATCCCGGGTCGCTGAACACGCCCTACCCTTCAAGTCGGCCTGACACACATCACCGGAGGAAAGATGTGGTAGCAGTGACGACAACAGCAGAGCCAGCAAGGGATGCTGCAGGTTGCAGAAGAATCTTCCATGGGCCACAGACAGCAGCAGCAGAGACAGCAGGAGAAGAAACAGCAGCAGCAGCAGAAGCAGCAGAAGCAGAAGGCGACCCACAACCTTCTCTTGCTTCAGCCGTTTTTCCACTGAAGCAGGAGGCTCTGAAGCAAGAGGCTGTGCAGGCGGACCAAGTGCTGCTTCCAGGAGCACGAGTAAAGCAGGAGACGTCAGAGGGGTCTGGTCCCTCCTCTGGCTTCACTGCCCTTCCCGACACTTTCTGTGTCTCAAGGTATTTGCTCTATAAAGAGGACATACCAGACACTTTCTGTGTGTCAAGGTATTTGCTCTATGAAGAGGACATACTAGATACCCTCTGTGTGTCAAGGTATTTGCTATTATAAAAATCGGCTGCTCCTCACACCAACTCCCTGCCCCCACCCACTTTTGAGGCGTCTAAACATATTTCCTTCATTCCCTTATTCCTTCCCTGCCCCTCCCCCCCTCCCCCCCCCCTGTCTTTCCACCCTGTCCCTTCTCCTCTGTTTCCTCTCTCGGGGCCATTTCCCTCCCTTCCCCCCACCCCCTCTGCCATTCACCTGCCCCAAGCCCGGCTGCCAGCACAGCAGCACCTAACTCACTGCTTCTCCTCTTACTCTACTCTCACCCTGTCCCCTCTCCTCCATTTCCTTCCTCTTCCCGTTCCCCTCCGCCCCACCTCCACCGGTTCCTCCCCTAATGCCTTCACCTGCCCCAGGCCAGTCTGCCTGCACAACCAGAAGCACCCTCGCTCAATGTCTCTCTTCTTACTCTACTCTCACCCTGATTCCTCTCCCCCATTTCCTATCCTCTGGCCATTTCCCCCCTCCCCTCCTCTCCCCCTCCTTCACCAGTTCCTCCCCCACTGCCTTCACCTGCCCAGAGCCCGGCTGCCAGCACAACGAGCAGCACCCTCGCTTCCGCCCGCTCAAGTCCCTGGCCTCCGTTCAAACGCACTACCGCCGCGTGCACAGCAGCAAGCCTTTCACTTGCTCCAGATGTCAGGTACCGGCACAAACACACTTCTCTCCCCTCCCCTCCGTGCTCTCAAGTCCCTGGCGTCTGTTCAAACGCACTTCCACCGCATGAACATGCCCTTCACATGGCCCTGCTGTCACGTAAAACAGCACTCCTCTCCTCTCCACTCCTCTCTCCTCTCCTCTCCTCTCCTCTCCTCTCTCCACTCCTCTCCTCTCCTCTCCTCTCCTCTGCTCTCCTCTCCTCTCCCCTCTCTAGTCCCCAGCCTCTGTTGAAACCCACTTTCGCCGCGTGCACAGCAACAAGCCTTTCACATGCTCTGCTTCCAAGTAGGAACGCATTCTTCTCTCCTACCCTCTGCTCTTGTATCCTTGTTCCACTGTCACTCTATTAGCAAATTCACGCAATAACAAGGTGCTCTGTCTCTCAAAATTTGCTAACTCTGCACACCAAACGAGATTGAATTATGCAACCACATCCATCAATGCACGAAGCTTATCTCATGTCTGTTTCTCTCACCTGCTCCTTTAGAGGTGAAATCCTTGGGACTGCTCTCAGACCTCTGGGCTCAAGAGAAGCAGTGCGGTGTGAAGCGGTGGCACTGCTCATGCAGCCAGAAGCAGCTGATCATTCCAACTCAGTTTGCGCCCTCCCCTTCCCACTCTCAGGTGAAATCCTTCGGACTGCTCTCAGACCTCCGGGCTCACGAGAAGCAGTGCGGTGTGAAGCGGTGGCACTGCTCGTGTGGCAACTCGTTCAGCAGAAAGGACAAACTCGCCAACCATCTCAACACGTTCACAGATCACTCCGCTCTCTTCAACCTGCAACCGGTTGATATTCCCATTCAGCCAAAGCAGAAACCACAACAGAAGAAGCAGCTTGAGGCGGCGAGTCAGAAGCAACAGCTTGAGGCGAGCATGCTCCTCTTGGTTCATCGCTTTCATGCAATGCGGGCAAACGTACCAAAAGGCTTGTAGCTCACTCAGTTTTTTCGCCCCACCTTCGCTAGCTGCTCTGAAACGTCTCTCTGCACCACCTGCTTGACCGTCTCTCACTCACCATCTCACGCCATGAGCGACGATGAGGGATGGCAGGTGCAAGGCTCAAAACGGCGCAGCAGCAAGGAGCTTGCAGAGCAAGCCAGTGCCCTGCCTGTAACACAGTCAGCGCTGGATTTTCTTGTGCGTCCTACAAGGCAGGGCGCCGTGTGGAGTGTCGTCGATACTCGTATTAGCCCTTTCCCTCCCCTGCTCAGCAGTCCGCAGCATAGATCTGCTGTTGCGTCGAGTACGCCTCAGAGGCTCGCGATTAACATTGGCCGCGCGTCACCCGTCGTGCGCAGTCCTGCACGAGAGTCTGCGCGCTCTTCTCCTCGCATATACAGCCCGCCGGTGGTGGCTTCAGTCTCCTCTCCGCGCATTTGCATCCCCTCTGCCGAGGCTACGCGTGGGTCCAAGCTTGTCCACGCTTGTGCGTCGCCGCTGTCCCGCTCTTCGGCTCACGACACTCCGCGATTCTCCCCGATCGAATGCAGCCCGGGTGGTGATGCTGGCCGTGTGTCACCCCACCCTCGCAGCCCAGAAGGCGACGCAGGGCAAGCGGTCGGAGCGGCCGGTGATGGCGGTAGTGGAGCAAATCGCGGTGCGCCTAATTCTCCCCCGAAACGAACGTACCGTCAAGCGTTGCTGTCGTTTCGGCTTTCGACGACCGTCAACAAACATCCTGCCGCCATCACGTTCGCTACAGCTTGCGCCACCGTTCAATCACGGAGGCACAAGCCGTCGCGTGCTCCACCGGTGGATGCAGCCTCTCCGGCAACGACGATGCGGCATGCCGAGCAGTCGGCAGGCGGTGCTGCATCAACTACGCCAACGAGTGCGACTCCAGTGGCCGGCCCTTCTACCGCGACACCACTGGAGTCGCGCATCCAGTCGTCAGCCACCACTGATGAGGAATTTGGAGAGGCTGCTGACTTGTTGTATCTTCAAGCTCAGCAAAATTTCAAGTCAGACTGGCAGGAGCGGTTTCCTTAGTTGCTCCTGTGTCATACTAAAAATGGCCTTCCATCTCTGCGATGTAGCGTGTGTACAGATCATGGCATCCTGGGCACCAAATATGGCCGAGATGGGGAGGGCGTAGTTGACGTGCAGACACAGGCAATGAAGAGGCATGGCCGGTCAACACGGCACAAGGCATGCATCAAGGCGAAGAAGAAGGCCATGGAAGACGCTCAGAAGCAGAAGATATCAGACTTCCTACAGGCCCAAGATCTCGAAAAGGGATGACTCATCGCGCTGCTGTGGGTCCTGCATTTCATCTGCCAGTGCGACGCGCCGATCAACACTTGGGTGAAGCTCGTCCGCTTCCTAGAGAAGCGAAAGTGCCCCGACTTTCCGAAATTGAGCTACGGAACCTAATACACCTCGTGAGTTTAGGACATCAATGTTTTTTCCCGCTCCTCTCTTATGCCTACGAATGTTGTGTCTCACGTGGTGAGCTCTACCCCATGCAGGTATGGCTTCGTGCAACTGATGCAATCTCTGTCAAACTGGCTTCATGCTTCTCAGCTATGCCACATTCACGCAAGTCCTTTCATTGGGCTGAGTTGCGACGAGTCGACTGACTGCACTTGAGGGAAACACTTGATTATGTTTGTAACATTTTTGCGTGATGGGCATGTTGTGACCGAGTTCAACGCCTTGCTAACCCTGGAACAGTGCGATGCAGTATCTATTCATGCTTTCATTCAAGAACATCTAGCCAAGATTGGCGTGCACCCCGACAAGATTGTTGGCATCGGCACGAATGGCGCTGCTGTCATGATGGGCTCCAACACCAGCCTCGCCACTCGCATGCGTGCCATATCATCGTGGCTGGTGTCCTGCCACTGCATAGCTCACAGGTGAGCCACTTCGTATGCATTTGCCTCTCACTTCCCGTTCCCTGACCATGACTTCTGACGACTCTGGTGTCTGTACTTGCTGTGCCTCTCCAGCTACTGTTTGATTACAACGCTGATGCTTCTGCTATTTCTGCTGTGTACGCAAAAAGGCCCTCGCTGTGAAGGATGCTGCAACCGCCGTTCCAGAGCTAGCAGTGGTTGACAAGCTCATCCGGACCGTTGCTGAGTTGCTGGGTTGCTCTGGAAACTAGCACGCACGCTTAAAAAAACTCCAAGTCGTCTTCACCCAGACGAACCTTGAGATGCAGGGTATTTTCAACATATGCTGGCTATCTCGAGGTGAGGCGATCGCCTGCCTCGTCGACGTGCTACCAGCTGTGGTCATTCTACTTCTTGAGTATGACCAGGAGATGTACAACATCATAAAAAGCTACAAGTTTCACTTTTTCCTCTACTTCCTAGCTGACATGCTTGGCTTACTGAACAGCCTCAACAGAAGATTCCAAGCCCGCCAGGTTGGTTCCTTGCATGGTCCTATTCTGTTTGTCTAATCGCGTCTCTCCCTGAGCTATCTGCCCAAGCCCTCTCCTACCACAGGTCGAGTTGACGGGCGTCTAGGGCCTTATTCGGAGGACCATCGTCTACATCAAGCAGCGGTACGTCGAGTGCGGCAGCAACTTCGGGGGCGGCAACTCGCCGCTCCTCACTGCATTCATCGAAGCGCACCGCACCAGCCGCGCCGTCACCAT